AGGAAGGAAGGAAGGAAGGAAGGAAGGAAGGAAGGAAGGAAGAGGAAGGAACGAACGAAGGATGGTACGAACGAACGAACGAACGAACGAACGAACGAACGAAGGAAGGAAGGAAGAAAGGATGGAAGGAAAGGAAGGAAGGAAGGAGGGAAGCGAGGAAGGAAGAAAGAGAAGGCGGAATGAAAGAAGGGGGAAGAATCACGTTACGGTGCCTAGTTGTTACTAAAAATTAAATCGATCTCATGTACTCAATCGTCAATGGTCATAGTTCCTAGCATTATCGAACCCGTCCCACACGCAATCATTTCGAACTTACCTGTCAACTGTGAATGAGTGAGCGAGTGTGTTGTCCAACAGCGGGGTCAGGAACGATGTGCCAGTGCATCTGACTGTGTCGACAGCACACCGTGTCGTGTGTAGCACCGTCCCATCGTCGGTGTGTTGAGAACTGCCTGTGACGTAGTGGCCCTGTTTTTACGCGAGTTGGATGGGGCGGTGAGCAAACTACGCTCTCTGCGAGTTACTCTCTATTGATGCGGACAGCTATAAATACGTTTGTGAGTGTGTGTGTGTGCGTGTGTGTTTGTGTGTGTGTGTTTGTGTGACTGTTACGTGAGTGCCATGGTGTAGATGTGATCACAAGTTTTGTCGTCAAGTCGTAGGAATAGACACGTTTCTGTGGGCCTATACAAACTGTATTGGGGGATGTTTTGCGTTGTTTACTTAGATGTCAACACTGAACTTCGGTGTCTTTATTTCCTTTAGAACACTTCGGCACCAAAATAGTACGTTTTTTTCGAATTAAAATAATCGCAGAACACACCACACACTGCGCACCACAACAGAGTTACCTCCTGCCTTTTCAGTGTAACTCTTATTTCCGAAAATTAGCCACTGACTTCAATATAGATTCGTAAGGAATTTGTTCCAAGTTTTCCCTCGCACCGTAAAACTTCACAACCGACGCAAGATTTCACAAGCGGTAATTCAAAATCAGTAATCGTGAAATCCAAAATACCGAAAATGTACGAGTAGGCAGAGAGAAAGAAAGGGGAAAAAAGCAAAGCACGCGTTTGTGTTGTCTGACAGTGAAAACGATCTTCCAGAGAATTTCCCAGTCGAAGGGAGGCGATCGCACACATTCAAGAGGGAGAAAAGGGGAGAGAGGGGAAGAGAGAGAAAAAACTCCGCGGTACAAAAGGGGGCGCAACTGTGACTCGCGGACGGGAGCAGGGGCGGAGGCAAGGGAGCTAAGCGCCATGTCTCTATCGACAAAATACGCCACTGTGGGAGAAGAATATCCGTCCGAGCAGCCTTTCGTGAGAGGAAGAGAGTGCTCCCGGGACGGATAAAAAGGCAGACTGAATAGGCTACTTGGTTAATCATATTATTATTATTCCGGTATTTTATCTTTTTATTACGTTGAGAAAATATTCAATAAAAACAATGAAAGGAAACATAATTATAAAATGTGAAATTGTATGACGCGTATCATAATTTATCAGCTCCGGGGCTCAAAGCTGTAATTAGAGTCAAAGGCAATTCCATCCACTGTCTTTCTGCTAATTTTGTTAGCAGGCTGCAAAGCCAGGTTGACACGGCCGCTTATCGGAAACTGCCGGTTATGTTGAGGATAACGTTCTGTCACTCATTTTTTATTTGACTTGTGGCTTATCTATCACTTTATATTCATTTCTTTTTCTATCTATCTATCTATCTGTCTGTCTATCTATCTATCTGTCTATCTATCTATCTATCTATCTATCTATCTATCTATCTATCTATCTATCTATCTATCTATCTATCTATCTATCTATCTATCTATTTATCTATCTATCTATCTATCTAACTATCTGATTTTCATCTAATTGTCTTGGTGTCTATCAATGTGTGTATCTACCTATCTGTTCGTGTACCTATTCATCTATAAAATTATCTTTTTTTCTATCTATTTGTCTGCCTGTCTGTCAGTTTTTCTATCAATCGGTTTGCCTTTCATATGAAAGGCAATTGTTTCTATTCAAGTATGGGAAAGGGGTAAACTTGTAATATTTTATTCGGCATTTCCGCTTAACCTAATTGAAATTTAAATGTCTGTTTGTGCGCTTTTTGAGAGAAAATATACCCTTACCTCAAACACAAAGTATGCCATGCGTTAAAGATATCAAACGTTCACAAAATTAGAAATGAAGAATATGTCGCCTTTTTTAATTAAAGATGCATACAACAACATTGTTCCCTCCTTTCTCCGATACTAAAATATGCCACCAAAACATTGATGGCAACGTCATCCTATTGCTCTTTGACCTTACTTTGAGGGAGTCAAAAAGGCCATCACATAAAAGAACCCCTTTTTGAAAAATAAACAAAATGTTGTGGGGTTTTTAACAAATTCTGGCTGGGGTGTCCGTTTTTGATTACCTAAATTGCCTCTTTTTTTTAGATTGAATCATCTTATATAATACTTTTCATGTTATGTTTCTTTCCAAGTTTGGGTCTACTTTCTAAGTTTTGCTTTACTTTTCTTCCTGACTTTAGACCAAAAAATTAATTAAATGATAATATGAATGATCAGTCGCATAATGTAGTAATGGGCCAATTCTGCAGAGAATAACGGCCATGGGTGTTTTTATTTTATTGTTTTCGATGTATTAATTTTTGTGTTTTGTTTTGTTTTGTTTTTATTTTTCATTTTTTATTTTTTGCTAGGTTTATTTTTTGTGTTACGGGTGTAGTTTTGTTATATTTTTGTTGCTGTTTGTTTTTACATCACCTTAAAGTAAACAATCCACATTGTTATGAAACAAAGTGTGATTTTTATTCCCGGACTACAGTGCAATTGTAAAACTAAACATAACAAAAAAAAGTATGACAGATAGATATTGACTAGGCCGAATGTGTCCACCACCCCCACCCACACCCTTTCCTCCCCCTGATAATGATAACCTTCCGGGACAATTTGTCTTCTTTTTTAATTCAATGAAGTATTTATGCAATACAACATTATGTCCACGAACGTAGTATTGTTCCACCGTCTATATTGTGAAACTTGTACACATATCTTTATCGATTATTATCTGCTCAGTAGAAACTGGATACAGAATAATGTTGGCTCGTTTCTTCTGTGTCTGATCTATGGTAGCTTTCCTTATCTCAGCTTAGAATGCCTGACTTTAGCCTATCTCAAATCATCTCTATGACAATGGCATGGGCGGGGGGAAGGGGGATGGGTGGCTAAGATAATGTCTGCTCCCTGTAATTTTCTTTCTAGTGTTTATAGTGCCCTGGTGAGAGGGGAAACTCTCATGAAATTGAAAATGAATTTCACTATTTTTTGTAGTCCAAATTTGGCTCTTCAAAGGAAATTGTTAATTCCTCCCAGCCTGTCACAGCTCACTGACAGAAATATGCAATATTTGGCCCTTGATAAGGGATATAATATTTTTCATTATGAGGAAGTGTTTAAAAACAATTAATGGGTGTTTTATATGATGTGGTGTGACCCAATGGCCTTTGACACTGAATACACTTGATTACGTTTTCTTATTAGAAACCTGATAGGTTCCAGCTCAGAGTATTTGGTGTGTAAGACCGTGCTTCGAATAAAAAAAACGAGGCCTTATTAAATGCAAAGTTGCTTGGATCAGTTTTAAAGGCTTTTTGTCGACTTGTCGCATTCCCATCGAAGAAAGACTTTAAATTCGACGATCTTGACTTTTAAATTATCGTACTAGATTCTATATTAAATTAGCCGTGCAGTCTCGGCATTGAGAAGAATAAGACTGACGTGGTGCTAGCGTGTCGTACAAGGCGACTAATTGGCGAACCAGGTAGTGACTCCTGAAACAGAGTCATCCTGCCTCTAGGTCGGGGGTTGAGTCATGAGGCTAACAGCCTCTCTAGTAAAAAGAACCTGTTACAGAAATATATACAAGCAAAAACCATTATCTCTGCTTGGCTGATCGTGGATCTTCTCCAAATGGAGAGGTTATGATGCAAGGCGGTGAAAGCCGAAAGGAAGCTGCTGGGCAGAAGTCTCCACCACCATCCAAGTCCAAGTCTCTTCGGATCGGCTCGTGGAACGTTAGGACCCTTTATGAGGCTGGAAAAACTGCACAAGTTCTCCAAGAAATGCACCGATACCAACTACACATACTGGGAATCAGCGAGACCCACTTGAACCAGTCTGGACAGAAGCGAATGAAAGAGGGGGAGCTTTTTATTTATTCAGGAAATGACAGTGATGGACCACACAGGGAAGGAGTAGGGATGATCATATCAAAAACAGCTCAAAAGACATTCAGGGGCTGGGAAGCACATGGTCCAAGGATCATCATGGCCTCATTTGGAAATAAGAAAGAACTTAAGGTAAGAGAATGATGGTAGGAAGAAGGTCATTAACATGAACATCATACAAGTGTATGCTCCAACCAATGATGCAGAAGTGGAGAATAAAGATGACTTTTAAAACCGCCTGCAGAACGTCATCGACAAACTTCCAGGTAAAGACACCAACATTGTCATGGGAGATCTAAATGCAAAGGTAGGTTCGGACAATGGTCACAACGAGGAAATCATGGGCAGACACGGATTAGGAGAGGCAAATGACAACGGAAAAGGTTCCAAAACTTCTGTACATTCAACAACTTGGTCATTGGAGGTACAATCTTCCCACATAAAAGGATTCACAAGGCCACTTGGGTCTCCCCGGACGGAACAACGGAAAACCAGATTGACCACTTTTGCATCTCCCGAAAGTTTAGACGCTCACTGGAGGACGTCCGAGTCTTACGAGGAGCAGACGTCGCATCAGACCACCATTTGATCCTCGGAAAGATGAAACTAAAACTGAGAAGATATGCACAAGTCGCCGTTGGAAATCGTCTAAAATATGAAGTGAGCCTTCTGAAAGACCCAGTAAAGAAGAATGAGTTCAAGTTGGAACTGAAGAACAGATTTCAAGCCCTTCAAGATCTGGATGAATGTGAAGTCAACGAACACTGGGATAAGATAAGAGAGGCAGTAAATGCAACTTGCCAGAGCACCCTAGGACCCAAAGACAACACCAGGAATGAATGGATTTCACAAGACTCTCTAGACAAAGTCAAAAGAAGCAAGAGAGCTGAAGGCCCAAGTCAGCAACAGCCGTACCCGAACTGAGAAACTCGCTGCACAACAAGAGTACACCGAAGTAAACCGGGAGGTAAAGAATTCCATCAAGAAGGACAAGAATACCTACCTGAATGGCCTGGCCGAAAAGGCTGAGAAAGCAGCAACAGACGGGCACTTACGGATTGTACACCAGACTACAAGAACTCTTTCAGGTAGGTTCAGCAAGCCCACTCTACCAGTGAAAGACAAAGAGGCAAAGACTATCTTCAACCCAGAGGGGCAACTTAACCGATGGAGAGAACACTTTGATCAACTATTGAACAGACCACCTCCAGAAAATCAACCAGAAATTTTTCCAGCCAGAAATGACCTCCCAATAGTCACGGAACCACCTTCAAGAGAGGAAATTGAAGCCGCTATAAAAACACTGAAGTCCCACAAAGCAGCTGGTCCCGACCATATACCACCGTAAGCCCTTAAGGCAGAGAAAGATACGTTTGTGGAAATTCTCTATGCTCTGTTTGAAAAGGTTTGGCAAAAGGAGGAAATACGATCAGACTGGAAGGAAGGACACCTAATCAAGCTGCCAAAGAAAGGAGATTTCAGCAATTGTAACAACTACAGAGGCATTACACTCCTGTCCATACCTGGGAAAGTCTTCAACAGGATACTCCTGGAGAGAATCAAGCTGGCAACAGACGAGAAGCTTCGAGGAAACCAGGCAGGATTCCGCAAAAACCGATCATGTGTGGACCAGATCGCTACTCTGCGTATCATTGTTGAGCAATCGCTTGAATGGAACTCTCCACTCGTGGTCAACTTCATTGACTATGAAAGGCGTTTGACGGCGTGGACAGGGAAACTCTGTGGAAACTCATGCGGCATTTTGGAATACCTGAGAAAATCGTCAAGCTTGTGAAGGCCACCTATGATGGAACAAACTACCAAGTCTTCCAAGAAGGACAACTCTCAGAACCATTCCAGGTACAGACAGGAGTGCGACAAGGATGCTTGCTCTCACCTTTCCTCTTCATACTGGCAATTGACTGGGTCATGAAAGAAGCCACCAGAGGCAAACGTAATGGAATACAATGGATCCCTTGGCAGCAGCTGGACGACTTAGACTTCGCCGATGACCTTGCGCTGCTCTCTCACACACATGCTCAGATGCAAGAAAAGACCAAGGAACTCAACAGGCTATCAAGAAGTGTTGGCCTACG